TGACTAGTCAGTGCTTCAGCTGCTCCTATACAGTACTAAGTGATCAATATGCTTTGTTGGGGAATACAGACACCATGCTCCATGCTCACACAGCAAGGTTGCAGAGCCAGAGGAAGGTTACATTTTACACCAGCCCACAACGGGGATGTTACAGAGATTTTACAGGCATTTTAAATCAGGTCGCTTGTCGCTTTGTGAGGTCAAACCAAAATTAATGAGGGATACGGCCCTATAAACGTTTGTGTAATCAGTGTGCTAAACAGCTGACAGATCTAACTACAATGGACAATTTCCCTGCCTTGTTTATGAAACGTCCTCAATAACTTGTCAAATCGTATTTAGGAATTCATGAGGAGTAAGGCAAGGATAAACCCTATACTTTTAGCGTTTCCAGTCAATGAGTAATAGTGGATCAGCTTGCTGAGGGAGAGTATATCACGCTGTCTCTGTCTCCCCCTTCTGGCAAAAAATAAAACTACACTCTCCCTCTATGCAGGTCAATGTAATGTGTTCAGTAGAAGCAGATACTAAACAACAATAATACATACAGTAAAAGCGCTGGTTGGTGGAATTAAAACTACATAAACAGTGTAAACTGCTCTTTGTGGATTTTATCCTGCATTGAAAAACTGACACAATCATGCATGAGAAATTGTGCTATTTCGAAAACAAAAATGCAAAAAAAGAGCTTTGGTAACTCAATTCACATATCTGCTGATACTGTATGATTTTTTTCTTGCCATTTCAATCATGTTGATAAAGCATAATCAAATATTTTGAAGACAAGACAGCACTTCAATTGTTAAGAAAGAAGAGCTTTTTCTTTATCAGAAAAAAAAGACACATGCCATGATGTGACTGTCATCTTTCATGGTTAGAAAAAATCAGCTGTCAGATATCTCACAATATATCCGCTGAGTGTGCATGTTCATTCTTCTTCACTTGTTTGTATGTACGTGGTGCTCATCTTGGGCCCTGTGCAATTCTCATATGACTGCAATGCATTTCACTATCTACTTAATCACAATACAAATTGTCCCGGTTCTGGAGGAATGAGAGGTTTTTTTTCAGTCAGCACGGCCCCCTGGTGAATCTGTTCACTCTATGAGACTCGCTGCTACTTGATTAAGCGGGCCAGGCTCGTTCCGTTGGGATTACCTATCAAAGTGGAAGGCAATGGTAACTCAATGCCTCCCCCAGACAGTGATTGATGATAGGACTGTCTCGTAACGAATCGCAGACGGAAAGTCTCACGCACAACACGTGCTGGAAATGTTAATTGAAATGCAGTACACAATGGCATACTTTTAAAGTGTTCACTGTTCTAGGTGTGAAGACAATGTACAGTACATACTGTAAAGTATCTCCTTGAAAGAAAATGGTTGTAGGATCAACTCTGATCACAGCTGTTTCCTTCTACAGGGTTGTTAAACGTTATCTTTTTTAAATGGGATGCTTTAGTGAAGGTCTTTGTTTCGTGCTTTTCCTGGACTGAAAACAATGCTTTCATGGGGGAAAAATCATAAGTAGGAGAGGCCGATTTCTTAAGTGATTATGATCAGATCTACTACACACCTATCAATGTTGATCAGTACCAGTCAGTACAAGCATGTACAGTGCCTGCAGAAAGTATTCATACCCCTTGACTTATTCCACATTTTGTTGTGTTACAGCCTGAATTTAAAATGGATTAAAAAGATTTTTTCTCTCTCACCCATCTACACACAATACCCCATAATGACAAAGTGAAAACTTGTTTTTAGACATTTTTGCAAATGTATTGAAAATGAAATACAGAAATATGTAATTTACATAAGTATTCACACCCTGAATCAATACTTTGTAGAACAACTTTGGCGGCGATTACAGCTTTGAGTCGTCTTGGGTATGTCTGTATCAGCTTTTCACATCTGTATTTGGGGATTTTCTCCTAGTTTTCCTTGCAGATTTTCTCAAAAGCGGCTGTGAACAGCAATCTTCAAGTCTTTCCACAGATTTTTTATGGGATTCAAGTCTGGGCTTTGGCTGGGCCACTCAATGACTTTCACATTCTTGTTCTAAAGCCATTCCAGCGTTGCTTTGGCTGTATGCTTGGGGTCATTGTCCTGTTAGAACGTAAGTCTTCGTCCAAGTCTACACTCTTAGAAAAAAGGGTTAATCGGCTGTCCCCATAGGAGAACCCTTTTTGGCATGTACCTTTTTCTCAGGAATGGCTTCCGTCTGGCCGCTCTCCCATAAAGCCCAGATTGGTGAAGTGCTGTAGAGACTGTTGTCCTTCTGGCAGGTTCTCCCATCTCAGCAAAGGAACTCTGTAGTTCTGTCAGAGTGGTCATTGGGTTCTTGGTCACCTCCCTGACCAAGGTCCTTCTTGCCTGTTTGCTCAGTTTGGTCGGACGACCAGCTCTAGGCAGAGTCTGGGTAGTTCCATATTTTTTCCATTTCCCAATGATGGAGACCACTGTGCTCTTGGAAACGTTCAACACTATAAATAATTGTATACCCTTCCCTACCTATAGACTACCAGTCAAAAGTTTGGACACACCTACACATTCAAGGGTTTTTCTTTAATTTTACTATTTTCTACATTGTAGAATATATGGAATCATGTAGTAACCAAAAATGTGTTAAACAAATCAAAATATATTTTATATTTGAGATTCTTCAAATAGCCACCCTTTGCCTTTATGACAGCTTTGCACACTCTTGGCATTCTCTCAACCAGCTTCACCTGGAATGCTTTTCCAACAGTCTTGAAGGAGTTCCCACATATGCTGAGCACTTGTTGGCTGCTTTTCCTTCACTCTGCGGTCCGAATCATCCCAAACCATCTCAATTGGGTTGAGGTCAAGGGATTGTGGAGGCCAGGTCATCTGATGCAAAACTCCATCACTCTACTTCTTGGTAAAATAGCCCTTACACAGCCTGGAGGTGTGTTGGGTCATTGTCCTGTTGAAAAACAAATGATAGTTCCACTAAGCCCAAACCAGATGGGATGGCGTATCGTTGCAGAATGATGTGGTAGCCATGCTGGTTAAGTGTGCCTTGAATTGTAAATAAATCACAGACAGTGTCACCAGCAAAGCACCCCCACACCATAACACCTCCTTCTCCATGCTTTACAGTGGGAAATACACATGTGGAGATCATCCGTTCACCCACACCGCGTCTCACAAAGACACAGCGGTTGGAACCAAAAATCTCAAATTTGGACTCCAGACCAAAGGACACATTTCCACCAGTCAAATGTCCATTGCTTGTGTTTCTTGGCCCAAGCAGGTCTCTTCTTCTTATTGGTGTCCTTTAGTAGTGGTTTCTTTGCAGCAATCCGACCATGAAGGCCTGATTCACACAGTCCCCTCTGAACAGTTGATGTTGAGATGTGTCTGTTACTTGAACTCTGTGAAGCATTTATTTGGGCTGCAATTTCTGAGGCTGGTAACTCTAATGAACTTATCCTCTGCATCAGAGGTAGCTCTGGGTCTTCCATTCCTGTGGCGATCCTCCTGAGAGCCAGTTTCATCATAGCGCTTGATGGTTTTTGCGACTGCACTTGAAGAAACTTTAGAAGTTCTTGAAATGTTCCGTACTGACTGACCTTCATGTCTTAAAGTAATGATAGACTGTTGTATCTGTTTGCTTATCTGAGCTGTTCTTGCCATAATATCGACTTGGTCTTTTACCAAATAGGGTTATCTTCTGTAATCCCCCCCCCCCCCCCCCCCCCCCCCTACCTTGTCACAACACAACTGATTGGCTCAAACACATTAAGAAGGAAAGAAATTCCACAAATTAACTTTTAAGAATGCACACCTGTTAATTGAAATGCATTCTAGGTGACTACCTCATGAAGCTGTCATCAAGGCAAAGGGTGGCTATTTGAAGAATCTCAAGTATAAAATATATTTTGATTTGTTTAACACTTTTTTGGTTACTACATGATTCCATATGTGTTATTTCATAGTTTTGATATCTTCACTATTATTCTACAATGTAAAAAAGAGTAAAAATAAAGAAAAACTCTTGAATGAGTAGGTGTGTCCAAACTTTTGACTGGTAGTGTATGCCTCATCAAAATTCTATCTCGCAAATCTATGGACAGTTCCTTGGATTTCATGGTATAGTTTCTGCTCTGACATGCATTGTCAACTGTGGGACCTTATATAGAAAGGTGTGTTTTTTTCTAAATCATGTCCAAACAATTGAATTGGCCACAAGTGGACTCCAATCAAGTTCTGTGTAGCTCAGTTGGTAGAGCATGGCGTTTGCAACGCCAGGGTTGTGGGTTCGATTCCCACGGGGGCCAGTATGAAAAAAATAAAATATTATGCACTCACTAACTGTAAGTCGCTCTGGATAAGAGCGTATGCTAAATGACTAATAAAAAATAAAAATAAATAAAAAGTTGGAGGGACATCTAAAGGATGATCAAAGGAAATTGGGTGCACCTGAGCTCAATTTGGAGTATCATAGCAAAGGGGTGTGAATACTTACATATGTAAATGAGATGTTTCTGTATTTGCAACAATGTATAAAAGCATGTTTTCACTTTGTCATTATGGGGTATTGTGTGTAGATGGATGACATTTTTTTAATTTAATCAATTTTGAATCCAGTCTGTAACACAATTTTTTTTTGAATAAGTCAAAGGGTATGAATACTTTCTGAAGGCACTGTACTGTATGTTGTACATACTGGTATGCTTTTGCCGCACAGTAGGCCTACTTACCATATCCTTTGCATATTTGCCTTACTTTGTGGGAGCTGGGACTGGGAGACTGTCATTGTTGACTCTAAGAAAAATAGAGTAATTACAAGTTCAAACACCAAAATCCTTATGAAACCAACAGAACTGTCAATATTTAAATGGAATGAACGGCAACACTAATGATGTGAATATGTGAATCATAAATTAGGTCAATGTTACAAGTTGGATCACTTTTCATTTCATTTCAAAACAAGTTGATCTATAACATAAAGACCTATAATTAGTTATGTCCTACCTGTGCACAGACATACCCTCTCGTCACCATGGCCAAGACACTTTGCCAGTTTGTGAGAGTATACTTTGGTATCAGTATCCGAGCTGGAGGAACCAGCACATCTCCATTGGTTAAAAACGCTACAAAATACGACACATGAAACTCAGACCATTTTTAAGGGCTTGCAGTTTTAACATGGTTATGATCATTGACATTTTCAACATCCGAAATTTAGTAGGCGTAGCCTACATAAATCGATCAAATCTAACACATTTGAATAAGTAACATATCCCTAAGTATTATGGGACACAAGAAACATTTCGACCTACGTAGTTTTGGCAATCATAGAATTACATGACAAGTGAAAAGAGTTCATGCCTATTTTGTATACATTTCAATGCAAAGAATAATGTTTGCAAATGCACAATAAGGATGTGGGACACTTGAAAACCCAAACTCACTTGATGACTCGTTTCTAATTTTCCTCCAGCGAGCAGAAACAACTATTCTGCTGTGAACTACAGGTGAGATCTGTGATTTAAAACAACAGAAATTAAAGTTATTACAGTATGTATGGTTATTACCAACAACCTTCCAATCTTGTAAGATTATTGTGTGAATGTAACATTGATAGCCTAGGCCAGTGGTACTGCAGGGGGTCCACAGAAATATAATAAAATAATAATAATAAATAATAACGTGTTTTATTTCAATGTTTTTATGAATATCACTAGCAACGACAGAATATATATATTTTTAATACATACCTACAGTAGAAAAGAGGAGAATATCTTAGTTCTAATGATGTCAACTTTATTTCTCAACTCCTAATATTTAACAAATTACACTCACTGGAGTACCTAGCATAGGCTTTGAAAAAGCACCCGCGAATAGGCTACCAGTGCAGCAAGTGGCTGTTGCTGCTAGTAAGCTTCTTGACTTGGACATATATTTTTGCCAACACACAGATAACCTTTGTTTAACCAGCTAAATAGCTGCTCTTAGCAAAAATATGTTTCAAGTTACCTTTCTAGCTAATGGGCTAGAGGTCAAAATAATGAAAAACTATATCTACCAAATCTATTCATTTTAAAATGTTGATTACTTCTCCTTGCCATCATCATTCACCTGATGATAAGACAGTGGTGTGTATTCATGGATGCCAAGGGAAACCAGGCTTCCCCAAAAAACTGACCCCCAACAAACATATAATTTTGTTTCTTTGTGTATCATAAATTTCCTTCAATTCGTAAGAGGCTGAATGTATCTCACCAGAGAAAGCATCCGAGCGAATGAAACAGCACCCCCTCTGTCTCAGTATGTGTAGACCATCTACAGTGCATTCGTAAAGTATTCAGACCCCTTCACTTTTTCCACATTTTGTTACGTTACAGCCTTATTCTAAAATTGATCAAATTGTTTTTTCCTCATCAATCTACACACAATACCCCATAATGACAAGCAAAAACAGGTTTTTATAAATTTCAGCAAATGTATTAAAGTAAAAAAACGGTAATATCAAATTTACATAAGTATTCAGACAGTTTACTCAGTACTTTGTTGAAGCAACTTTGGCAGCGATTACAGCCTCAAGTCTTCTTGGGTAAACGCTACAAGCTTGGTACACCTGTATTTGGGGAGTTTCTCCCATTCTTCTCTGCAGATCCTCTCAAGCTCTTTCAGGTTGGACGGGAGCGTCGCTGCATAGATATTTTCAGGTCTCTCCAGAGATGTTCAATCGGGTTAAAGTCCGGGCTCTGGCTGGGCCACTTAAGGACATTCAGAGACTTGTCCCAAAGCCACTCCTGCATTGTCTTGATTGTGTGCTTAGGGTCGATGTCCTGTTGGAAGGTGAACCATCACCCCAGTCTGAGGTCCTGAGCGCTCTGGAGTAGGTTTTCATCAAGGATCTCTCTGTACTTTGCTCCGTTCATCTTTCCCTCGATCCTGACTAGTCTCCCAGTCCCTGCCACTGAAAAACATGCAAGGCAAGCCAGCGAGCATTTGGCCTCTCTTGATAAAAAAAAAGTCTAAAATAATAGCCAATCAGCATTGAGCTAAACTGAGTGAGCTCAGCTGTGAATGTCTGGCACATCGTTGCCCATGAAAGGAAGTTAGACTGTTTAGGTAACATTAAGGAGGTGGATGGCATTGGCGTTTCTCTACAAGTAGGGATGTTTTTCCTCAGTTCCACAGATGGCACGCACGCACGCACGCACTCACACACACACACACACACACACACACACACACACACACACACACACACACACACACACACACACACACACACACACACACACAGATAAATCAGTAACATGGACAGCCACATCATATTTAGCTTACGTTGATTGGACTAAATCGTTTTTTGGTATATTTTAGTTGTCACTGTATTAGACTAAGCTTAGGTGATTAGATTATGTTGAAATGTTGAAGTTGAAATATTGCTGGAATAGTGTAGGCAGTTCCTGTTTTCTTTACGACTTGTGGTAACTCTCTGTGGTTCTAAATCAATAGTTGTTTAGTAGTCCGAAAACATCTGAAAAACTTGCTTGACCATGCTGTAACTGTTTGTTACATGCAATATGCAAGAAAAGGTTGAAGACCCCTGGCCTAGGCCTATCTTTCAGAGGTGTGTTCATGCATTCCTCTATTGACAAAGACATGATGGCCAGTATGGTATCAAATATCAGTTCATATTGCAATAAATATACACACATGGATGATTTTCAAAAAGCTTTGTCATAGAAAACACATCCTATGGTCAGGTTCATATATTATTGCTAATATATAAAATAAACAAGATGAGGATATAGTCAGTGGCCTTACAGTGAGGGAAAAAAGTATTTGATCCCCTGCTGATTTTGTATGTTTGCCCACTGACAAAGAAATGATTAGTCTATCATTTTAATGGTAGGTTTATTTGAACAGTGAGAGACAGAATAACAACAAAAAAATCAAGAAAAACGCATGTCAAAAATGTTATAAATTGATTTGCATTTTAATGAGGGAAATAAGTATTTGACCCCTCTGCAAAACATGACTTAGTACTTGGTGGCAAAACCCTTGTTGGCAATCACAGAGGTCAGACGTTTCTTGTAGTTGGCCACCAGGTTTGCACACATCTCAGGAGGGATTTTGTCCCACTCCTCTTTGCAGATCTTCTCCAAGTCATTAAGGTTTCGAGGCTGATGTTTGGCAACTCGAACCTTCATCTCCCGCCACAGATTTTCGATGGGATTAAGGTCTGGAGACTGGCTAGGCCACTCCAGGACCTTAATGTGCTTCTTCTTGAGCCACTCCTTTGTTGCCTTGGCCGTGTGTTTTGGGTCATTGTCATGCTGGAATACCCATCCACCACCCATTTTCAATGCCCAGGCTGAGGGAAGGAGGTTCTCACCCAAGATTTGACGGTACATGGCCCCGTCCACCGTCCCTTTGATGCGGTGAAGTTGTCCTGTCCCCTTAGCAGAAAAACTCCCCCAAAGCATAATGTTTCCACCTCCATGTTTGACGGTTGGGATGGTGTTCTTGGGATCATAGGCAGCATTCCTCCTCCTCCAAACACGGCGAGTTGAGTTGATGCCAAAGAGCTCCATTTTGGTCTCATCTGACCACAACACTTTCACCCATGCATTTTGGTTTTGTCATTTTGGGTGCACCTGCATCTAGTTAGGCATTGTTTACATAGATAAAGGATTTTTTCTTGCTGGCTGCACCAGCAACAACAAGGCAGTTTAACAATGATATCATCCTTAATTGCCGGCTAATTACAGTGTACCCACTCAAGATTTTTTGAAACGCTCTCCTCCGGCTGCAACATATCTCTCCCCGTGCTGCAAGTTGTCGAGGTCATGGATTTTGTGCCCTTCCCTTGGAATGTAAACATTCCGTACAGCTCCAAAAGGAGCCTCTACCCAACACGTGACTGCTCAAAAAGCTGTCAAAAGTTGACGTCTGTAGTTGATTTATAATAAACTTTCATCCAGGAAAGAAAGCATCCCCATTCCTGTACACAACAATAGTTTTTGTTCGAGGCTGAGGGAGTACCGCTCTACCTATAGTCCCAGACATGTTTATGTGATCCACAACGAACCGAGGTCAAATGGCAAGACTAGTTAGTTAGCTAGCTATCTATTGAATGAGCTTCTCGCAAATAAATAGATATCTGATGAGGAGACAAACGTCCACTTGGGTGCGCAACATCCTATCAAGAAGCCTATCCTTGGATATAGTTGTTTCTGGTTGTTCCTCGTTAACCGTGTTGTTGTTTCTGTTTTCAAAAGCTGGCTAGTAGCCTTGTGGCTACCACTCTCATGAATGTTGTTGGATGTGTTTCCAAAGAAACCAGTTCGGGGAAAGTGCGCGTTATCCATAAATACGTGGTGACCCACGGGCCACATAGGATGCTGCGAAAGGGACCACAGTCACAGCAAGCACAACGCCTATACTTCAGTATTCATACATACTATCCATCCCATTTGTAAACCTTGCATTTCTAAAGTAATCCTCAGAAATTCTCAATGTTGTCATTTCTGTGAGAAGAAACAACTGGGTGCCAGATCATTTACCGATAAACCATGATGGCACATTGGGCCCCCAAGTTCTGTAGGCACTTGAAACACACGTGTTTTCAGTTTATATGTGGTCAAATGTGGTCATTTCAATTACTTTGGTCTTTCAGATCAAATAAAGGGTTAACTGTAGCCTACACATTTCACCAATTCGATGTAGCAGTAGGCCTATCTGCCTGACATCACAAAATGCCTACCAGTATGAATTGCATTAAAGGCTACACATACATAACCTTAACTGTTATACATTTAAATAGATTTTTATCATTATTACATGAGAATGGCATCCTTACAAGAACAGGTGGGAGTTTTTCCACATATACAGTGGGGGAAAAAAGTATTTAGTCAGCCACCAATTGTGCAAGTTCTCCCACTTAAAAAGATGAGAGAGGCCTGTAATTTCCATCATAGGTACACGTCAACTATGACAGACAAAATGAGATTTTTTTTTCTCCAGAAAATCACATTGTAGGATTTTTTATGAATTTATTTGCAAATTATGGTGGAAAATAAGTATTTGGTCAATAACAAAAGTTTCTCAATACTTTGTTATATACCCTTTGTTGGCAATGACACAGGTCAAACGTTTTCTGTAAGTCTCCACACACTGTTGCTGGTATTCTGGCCCATTCCTCCATGCAGATCTCCTCTAGAGCAGTGATGTTTTGGGGCTGTCGCTGGGCAACACGGACTTTCAACTCCCTCCAAAGATTTTCTATGGGGTTGAGATCTGGAGACTGGCTAGGCCACTCCAGGACCTTGAAATGCTTCTTACGAAGCCACTCCTTCGTTGCCCGGGCGGTGTGTTTGGGATCATTGTCATGCTAAAAGACCCAGCCACGTTTCATCTTCAATGCCCTTGCTGATGGAAGGAGGTTTTCACTCAAAATCTCACGATACATGGCCCCATTCATTCTTTCCTTTACACGGATCAGTCGTCCTGGTCCCTTTGCAGAGAAACAGCCCCAAAGCATGATGTTTCCACCCCCATGCTTCACAGTAGGTATGGTGTTCTTTGGATGCAACTCAGCATTCTTTGTCCTCCAAACACGACGAGTTGAGTTTTTACCAAAAAGTTCTATTTTGGTTTCATCTGACCATATGACATTCTCCCAATCCTCTTCTGGATCATCCAAATGCACTCTAGCAAACTTCAGACGGGCCTGGACATGTACTGGCTTAAGCAGGGGGACACGTCTGGCACTGCAGGATTTGAGTCCCTGGCGGCGTAGTGTGTTACTGATGGTAGGCTTTGTTACTTTGGTCCCAGCTCTCTGCAGGTCATTCACTATGTCCCCCCATGTGGTTCTGGGATTTTTGCTCACCGTTCTTGTGATCATTTTGACCCCACGTGGTGAGACTTGCGTGGAGCCCCAGATCGAGGGAGATTATCAGTGGTCTTGTATGTCTTCCATTTCCTAATAATTGCTCCCACAGTTGATTTCTTCAAACCAAGCTGCTTACCTATTGCAGATTCAGTCTTCCCAGCCTGGTGCAGGTCTACAATTTTGTTTCTGGTGTCCTTTGACAGCTCTTTGGTCTTGGCCATAGTGGAGTTTGGAGTGTGACTGTTTGAGGTTGTGGACAGGTGTCTTTTATACTGATAACAAGTTCAAACAGGTGCCATTAATACAGGTAACGAGTGGAGGACAGAGGAGCCTCTTAAAGAAGAAGTTACAGGTCTGTGAGAGCCAGAAATCTTGCTTGTTTGTAGGTGACCAAATACTTATTTTCCACCATAATTTGCAAATAAATTCATAAAAAATCCAACAATGTGATTTTCTGGATTTGTTTTTCTCAATTTGTCCGTCATAGTTGACGTGTACCTATGTTGAAAATTACAGGCCTCTCTCATCTTTTTAAGTGGGAGAACTTGCACAATTGGTGGCTGACTAAATACTTTTTTCCCCCACTGTAGCGTCACCCATTGGTATGGGCATGCTTATGAATTTTTACACCCGAATAACCTGGCAATGTCCCCCCCTCCCTCCCATACTGTTGTCCAAATTGTTTACTGCAGCGGTAACCAGAGATTTCACAACTACAACAGTAGCTAATTGTTTTTTGCCAGACATGCTCCTGATCAATGGAATGCATCATTTATCATCTCTGTATTCATTATTAATGGCTTAAGGGACCACTCATGCTGTGCTTGATCAAAATAACCATGCCATGCATATACAAATTGTTCTGAATTTGTTTTGGTTTACAATTATTTAAATTTAGATGCCCTGTTAAATCTTCAAAATAGTGTGATCTTAGTAATATGTACCTTTGTTGAGATAATCGTGAATTAAAAAGATAAACCTTTGTCTGGATTCTAGAGGTTAAATGGATGAGTATCAAAGTTGAGACAGAAACTACATATGAGGGAATTATTCCAAAACTATCACATATAGTCTACACTGCAGTCAGCTCTATTGAGACAGTATCTGTCAGTCTGAAATCTTGACTGACAACCCAATAACATTCCTCCAGTAATGATCCTTCTCCCCCAGCGTACCACCACATAGACACAGTACCACAGAATTAAGGTATGAACCCAGCATTTATTTTCCACAGGTTGGAACTCAACAATTAACAGGTGCTGATTGGCAGAACTCCGAACCCTGTTACTGTCAAAAAGGAATAGAAATGACTACGAACATACTAATCACCAACATCCCACCACTCCTACTCCTCATTCAGATTCAAATCCACATTTTCTATGGTATTGGAAATAACCATAGAAAAACATTCCCCAGTGCCACAGATGGCCCTATTACTAGATCCCTGCGACCCTACTCTGCTACCCTTTTTCCAATCACCCAGCCAAAAACCCTCTGTTGAGACACTTCCACTTGTAAGGCTTCAACAGGTGTAGTCTTAAAGGCACTATTACACATCACAAGTGCCCTAAAATTGGATCCTATCAAGCTGCTGAAGCAATGTCTTTTCCACAAAGCATCCATAATCAATTGACGACCTGATCAGAGTTGGCAAGGAATCTCCCTTTAAATATACAGACCTATTTGATTCCGATTGAGAGCGCCGGTGTAATCATTTACCAAAGTAATTACCATGCTCATATAAGGACTTCCTGTTAGGCCAATAGCCCATGGAGTTCCTGCAAGGAAACCATTCCAACATCAATTCTAGATTATGCACCTATGCCCATATATGGAGTTCCTATCAGGGGCACCATTCCAACATGAATTTCCCCCAATTAAGACTCAGCTCCTGACAAGAGTATAGTACCCATGCTGCTCATTCTTACAATTTCCTGATCACAACTGATGTTTTTTGTCTAACCTTTCAATGGCTCCTTAAGGTCATGGAATCTTTTCAAAATGTTTCACCAGATGTAATGGAAAAGTTGTTTTATGTGCAGACAGACAGTCATGCAGAACTTTTGCTTCTGTCTCTGGTCAGATTAGAAGTAGGCCTATATAAAGTAACATGGAACTTATTTTACAGACATTGGTATGGGAGGAAAAGGTAATTGTAAGGACACAAAATTATTTTAAGAAATATGTTCCCAAGTATTCCCGCGCATAATAGAGAGACACGTAATCGTATACAAATGTAAGCAAGGTTTGAAATTATTATGTTTTAGTCAAACATTATATCTGTTTGGGCTTCTTGCGGTCAATTTGCAGTGTACAAATTATTTGTAATTTTGTTCCGGCCCCCCGACCATCCGCTCAACATAAAATCGTCCCACGACTGAATCTAGTTGATGGTCCCTGTTGTAGATGATGCACAATAATCATAAACCTATTTGTCACTAAATTCATAGGTTCACAGGTTCACATGCAATGTATTCTGGTTGGAATTGAATCGTGTTTTGGTTTCCTAGAAATAGCTACATCTGGTTTGCTTCTTTCTTATCTTCCCCTTATACATTGTGAACTTAATTTTAATTTGGTAGCATATTGGAAAAACTTTCTAGGTAGCTCTAAACGGCTCTGTCATATGTGAGGAGATAAACAGTGAACAGTGGTAGCAGTGTTTTACTGTTAGCCACTAGGTGGCAGTAGCCTACAAAATACACCAGTAGGACAGTTGTAAATTTACAACTTGTAAATCAACAAATCATGACAATAAACGACTATTAGTATCAGTTTTTTATTTTGAACAATCCAGGCAAATGAGCAACACCAACCCACATATTTCACCCTGCATCAATGAAGACATTGCAGCAGCTGCCAAAGGTTCTATATTTTACAATAGAGATTTAGTACCAGTTCATAAAGCCTATTAGCTAAACATATATTATGGAATGTCCTCCATGTTTGATTCTGAATATACCTGAACACATTATTTTTTCTAACCAATTCCTGCCATATAACCTCTTAACCATCATTCACTCAGCTATTGTTATCTGTCAGATGACCTCTCATGCACTTTCAACCCCATCCCAAACTATTCCAACCTACACATTGCACATAGTTTAGCTTACATGGTTTATCTTAGTATTCCTGTAAGTGTGCATTACAAGAAATGCATGTCATTAAAAATTTAAAGACCAACATACTAACATACAACATGGATTATGCCTAGGTAAATGGTAATACAAATTGGAATCACTTCAGTAACTCACTACCTTGATGAGTGTGCATGGTAAGGCAATATAAAAAAAGTCAATATGGTGAATACAATGACTGGAAATAATATATTTCTTAATGATACAGTAAATTTAAGCCATGGGGGAAAAAAATACAAAATATATTACTTCAAATGATTTACACAAATTACTTTAACTTTAACAAAGGAGAAGTGGCTGTTAAACTAAAGTAATACATTTTTAAGGTTAATTTGTACCCAGAAGGTGGTTTATTAAATTCTTTCAATTTTTCATGACTTTGTCAAACAACTTGTTCTTAATAAATCTAAATAATTGTTTAGTGTTTCTGTATGAGTATGTCCGGGTAATTTCGACCCCAGCCAAAAACACCTTATTCTGCCTATAGAAATTGGATAGATAGAACCTTTATTTGAATCTAGGTTTCTCTGAAGACATAATAACAAGGTATCCATACCCCCAGAGAGTGGAGGGGGACCTGTTGGAGTGATCTTGACCTGATAGACAGATTACCTGCAGCGATGGAGCACCTTATGCACTCGCCCATGGTTCTAACTGGTTATATAACTAGGTATGACCATGTACAAAATCTAAATTACCTTAGTTGCTGTCAAAACAGCTTATAAAAGTATGTCAATTATATGAATACTTGGTAGAACTGTAATACAGAAACCAGCTACCCTCTGAATGTACACACTGTGCTGTATTGGTGTGTAATCAAAAAAATAAAAAATATTATATGGAAAATGTTATAAAAAATACCAGAATTCCTATAATACCGTCCAATATGCTATATGTACAACTTGTTATGGTACTTTGGTTGTTATAACATTTGGTTTGAAGTTACTTTGACGATCTGGGTATGCTTTCTGAAGCATCCTGCCATAGGCCCTACCACTCCCATTGTTTCACTAGCAGCGATGCTAATACTGGCTGTGGGGTTAGTAAATAAAAAAGCCTGAGACATACTTTTGGTCACTGTCTGTCAGGATCAATGGATGAATAACTTTTTGTCCCAAAAAATAAATATATTTCAAATTTTGGTGTACTGACCCTTTAAATGGCAGTCATTTTTACCATATAAATATGACAAAATGTATGTTTACTTCAAAATTCTAAAAACTGAATGATACTACAACAAATGATGGTAAACCAGCTTTTTAGTACTAATGTGGATTGTAGGCCTACTTTGGAAAAAAGCTGCACATTATAAGGGAAACAGCAGGTCTGGGTTGGCGCCCCCCCTTGGTTTGTGCTGTGGTGGAGACCTCTGTGGGCTATACTCGGCCTTGTCTCAGGATTGTAAGTTGGTGGTTGAGGATATCCCTCTAGTGGTGCGGGGGCTGTGCTTTGGCAGAGTGGGTGGGGTTATATCCTTCCTGTTTGGCCCTGTCCGGGGGTTTCTTCGGATGGGGCCACAGTGTCTCCGGACCGCTCCTGTCTCAGCCTCCAGTATTTATGCTGCAGTAGTTTATGTGTCGGGGGGCTGGGGTTAGTTGGTTATACCTGGAGTACTTCTCCTGTCTTATCCAGTGTCCTGTGTGAATTTAAGTATGCTCTCTCTAATTCTCTCGTTCTCTCTTTCTCTCTGAGAACCTGAGCCCTAGGACCATACGTCAGGACTACCGGGCATGATGACACCTTGCTGTCCCCAGTCCGCCTGGCCTTGCTGCTATTCCAGTTTCAACTGTTCTGCCTGCGGTTACGAAACCCCTACCTGTCCCAGACCTGCTGTTTTCAACTCTTAATGATCGGCTATGAAAAGCCAACTGAGAGACCTGAGCCCTAGGACCATACGTCGGGACTACCGGCCGTGGTGACTCCTTGCTGTCCCCAGTCCGCCTGGCCTTGCTGCTATTCCAGTTTCAACTGTTCTGCCTGCGGTTATGGAACCCCTACCTGTCCCAGACCTGCTGTTTTCAACTCTTAATGATCGGCTATGAAAAGCCAACTGAGATTTATTCCTGATTATTATTTGACCATGCTTGTCACTTATGAACATTTTTGAACATCTTGGCATGGTTCTGTTATAATCTTCACCCGGCACAGCCAGAAGAGGACTGGCCACCCCTCATAGCCTGGTTCCTCTCTAGGTTTCTTCCTAGGTTTTCGCCTTTCTAGGGAGTTTTTCCTAGCCACCGTGCTTCTACACCTGCATTACTAGCTGTTTGGGGTTTTAGGCTGGGTTTCTGTACAGCACTTCGAGATATTAGCTGATGTAAGAAGGGCTATATAAAATACAATTGATTGATTAAAATTGATTGATATATTTTTGTTTACAGAATATGCAAATTAACTGTAGATTGTCTACAATAACAGCCTGTTTTGGATATTTTTTTATTTAAAATAACATTATTTACATGTCTAATGATGTTTTGAAAATAATTAAGTTGATATTTTGCTATGATTGTTGCTTTTTCCAATAGTCCATGTATGTAAAATATGTCGGTAGTCAGTTCACATAAACATGACAAGAAAGACAAAAAAATAGAATATGTATGTTTCATCTTCAAAAAGTAGATACCAAGTAGATTAAGAGATCAAGGGAGAAATTGCTGTATCCATTCAATGCAATGGTTTATGAAAACAGCATCCATTCAAGTCAAAAAGGAAGAAGACTGGAAAAAATGGGAAGAAACACCTTGTCTTTACACAACTGTTGTTGCATGTCAGTACACAATCTTTTATACTGTACGATGATATTTAGCACTGGTGGGTGATTACATTTAAATGCAGCTGTATCAAAACAATTTGACATACTGAACAACATCTGTAGAACTCTATAAAAGGCTTCTCTATAACTGAAGTCTCTCTCTGTCATGCAGCTTTAAATGAGGCCCTTTGCCCCTTACCTCTAAATTCACTACCACGTTCAAACAAATGCCCCTCAGACACTGTCCTTCTCAAACTCACACACAAAGTACATGGTGGGGTGGCAGGCCACATCGGTCCAGTCCCCCACAGCCACCATCTCAGCACAGTCCTCGTCCTCGTAGGCATTGTTGGGTTCCCCTTCCCTCCACTTGTTGAAGGTGCTCATTGGGGAGCTATCCACGTAAGTGAAATGGCCCTCGCGGTCTATGTCATTGATGCCGATGTACACCCGGCTCAGGCCCGCCTCTGTGATGTACCCAGCGATGGCCGTATTGGCCCCCTCATCTTTGGGCATGGCTAGGTGTCCACCCCTTCCCTGACAGTAGGCCTCTGCGTCGGTGTAGCGTTTCTCCTCCCTGACCAGCAGATAGACCTTGCTGTTGGTCTCTTTGATGCCGGTGACAGCTGCAGGGGAGGGCAGGGCTGAAAAATTAGCACTTGTATTTCTATAATCACACTGACATATAAACCCAGCGTTTACTTTGCGCATGAAAGAAAACAAAGCAAAATGGTGATAGCTACGAGCATTTCAATTAATACTGAAAGGAAACTGATAGCTCTATGTCTTTACGTTACTCATTGGAAATTCCTAATTTAACATTCAACCAGACACCCTGAAAGCGTACCATTTTTTATGAACTTCAGCTCACTGGATAACTGTACCACTAGGATGTCCATCTCACCAATAATTTTCCTCAGAGGTGTGCATTCACATGGAACACCTGATGAGACAAAACAAAATGAGGAATACATATTTTCCATTCCTCTTTGTTGGCTTGGTCTTATTGTTAACTAGACCTAGAATGTTTCTCCAAACAAATAAATGTTGTACCTGGATCACCATTCGGGCCCCTTAATCCAGGATCACCCATATCTCCCTTTACACCTGAGAGTAAAAACATTGTTAAAGTACATGGAAAATATAGCAATGCATCCCAAAACAGAAGTGTAAATGCATGTTGTTCTGTTTTTTTCCTACCTTTGACTCCACTGGGGCCAATCTTCCCATAATGTCCCATTATACCCTTCTGTCCTTTAACTCCAAGATGTCCTGCAGGGAAACATGTTTCACTGTTACTAGAGGTGTTTTGTTACTGATTTCAGAATCAAAGGAATAAGTGGGTTAAATAACAAAGCCTCTGTGTGAGCATTTAATCTGTCTTTGGTGACAGCATCCACCAGCCCCATAGACTTAGATAGACATTGCATCATTGTATCTGACCCATTATGGCATCTGTGAGAGCCATCTCCATTTTGAAGTAGTGAATTTTCTTCTTCTACTACTTCTATGAGTTGGCAAACAAACTGAAAGGGTGCACACTGCAATTTACTGCCAATTGCAGTTATGGAATGTTTGTTCACGAGTAAACTCATTGGCTGCTCCCTCCTGGTGACCTGGATGGAATGATGTTATCCTTCCTTAACCTATAGGAAGTCCCACCCAGTTGACCACTTCAAAATGGTGAAAGTCCTCAATGGCACTGCCCATTCTAAAACCGCCTTTTGGGCACTAGAGTACTATATCTATCTCTATGAACAGTCCTCATTAACAGCTGCTGTAAACACTTATCAGTGATTCAGGGGATTCTGGGTAGTGTTTCTCATGCATTTTTACATTTTTTAGGTCATGCGACCTCTGACCTAAAGTAAACATTCTGTTGCTCTGGACTGCCTAGCAGTGATGTAACCAGCACACAACATCCACTAGGAGAAATGATTGTCAATGCATGATGTGATCTTTACTCTAGTTTCTGCAATAACTGTCTAATTAAAGAAATATATCAAAGAATCATGTTGTTAAAGGAAATATGATTATTTTAAACCATTCTGGAAAAAAATCTGTATGGTTTTAGTCTATTGTAAAATAAATACCATAGTGATAGAAAGGGTTATCCAAAGGCCATTTCCGAAGGGCAATCAGTAGGAGTGTCCAAAAAGCTTTTCATGACAACAAAATTCTCAAACAGATAATTACTCCCAACATCCTCCATAGCTGAAAAACTTACCACGACCAAATTTCCAAACAATATATTTCTCAAGTTTCCCAAGTCCAGCCTCCATTGAGTCAAAACGTTGTGATATTGTGAGGGAAGTCATCATCAAAGCATAGCACCTGTACAGAGAGAATGCTGAACGTTGTTTTTGCTTCTGTTTTCAAAGATAGAGGCTTACCTATCTCCCCTGGTGGACCCACTCTTCCTGGTCGCCCAGGTGCCCCTTTCTCTCCCTTTTCTCCTGGCTCTCCTGTCAAATGGAGAAAAAACTTCATGAATCAAAACACGAACTGCACAACTCTGAAATGTTATTACTGTTGATAACTAGTACACACTGCCACCCTATGAGTCCTATATGTTTTCTGAGCATGTTTTAGACTCTTTCATTTTGGATGAACGTGTGAGTGTATTGTGTGTGAACTGTATATATGCCTTTGAGTCCTGGGACGAGAATCTGGACAGAGCAGGGTTCGTCTGACATGTGCTGTCCGTGAGCTGACTGCATCAGGGTCAGCCCCAGTAGAGTGATAAGTACACAAGGCATCAGCTTCTCTCCTCTCATCCTGCAACATTGATGGGTTGATGGACTGGAAGAAATGTAATGAGATATACACTGACTGGCAAACACACACACACACACACACACACACACACACACACACACAAAGAGATACAGGTAACTGCCTAAATAAAAGAAACACCAACACAAAGTGTCTTAATAGGGCGTTGGGCCACCACGAGCCACCAGAACAGCTTCAATGCACCTTGGCATAGATTCTACAAGTTTTCTGGAAATCTTTTGGAGAGATGCGACACCATTCTTCAACGAGAAATTCCATAATTTGGTGTTTTGTTAATGGTGGTGTTTTGTTAATGGCGCCGCTCCAGAATCTCCAATAATGTTAAATTGGGTTGATATCTGGTGACTGAGACGGCCATGGCATATGGTTTACATCGTTTTTAAACCATTCAGTGACCACTCGTGCCCTGTGGATGGGGACATTCCCACTGCGCACAGATGTCAATTCAATGTCTATTCTACATTGGTTCAATGTAATTTTATTGAAATGACATGGGAACAACATTGATTCAACCAGTGTGTGCCCAGAGGGTTGTCATCCTATGCCATGGTAGCCATGGTAGCCATGGTAATAATGACCTGCCCAGCATTTGTATACATGACCCTAAGCATGATGGGATGTTAATTGCTTAATTAACTCAGGAACCACACCTGTGTGGAAGCACCTGCTTTCAAAATACTTTGTATCCCCCATTTACTTACACTACCGTTCAAAAGTTTGGGGTCACTTAGAAATGTCCTTGTTTTCCATGAAAACATACATGAAATGAGTTTGAATAGGAAATATAGCAAAATGCATAGGAAATGTAGTCATTGACAAGGTTAGAAATAATGATTTTTAATAGAAATAATAATTATGTCCTTCAAACTTAGCTTTCGTCAAATAATCCTCCATTTGCAGCAATTACAGCCTTGCAGACCTTTGGCATTCTAGTTATCAATTTGTTGAGGTAATCTGAAAAGATTTCACCCACGCTTACTGAAGCACCTCCCACAAGTTGGATTGGCTTGATGGGCACTTCTTACGTACCATACGGTCAAGCTGCTCCCACAACAGCTCAATAGCGTTGAGATCCGGTGACTGTGCTGGCCACTCCATTATAGACAGAATACCAGCTGACTGCTTCTTCCCTAACTAGTTATTGCATAGTTTGGAGCTGTGCTTTGGGTCATTGTCCTGTTGTAGGAGGAAATTGGCTCCAATCAAGTGCCGTCCACAGGGTTTGGCATGGCGTTGCAAAATGGAGTGATAGCCTTCCTTCTTCAAGATCCCTTTTACCCTGTACAAATCACCCACTTTATCACCACCAAAGCACCCCCAGACCATCACATTGCCTCCACCATGCTTGACAGATGGCATCAAGCACTCCTCCAGCATCTTTTCATTTGGTCTGCGTCTCACAAATGTTATTCTTTGTGATCCGAACACCTCAAACTTCGATTAGTCTGTCCATAACACTTTTTTCCAATCTTCCTCTGTCCAGTGTCTGTGTTCTTTTGCCCATCTTAATCTTTTCTTTTTATTGGCCAGTCTGAGATATGGCTTTTTCTTTGCAACTCTGCCTAGAAGGTCAGCATCCCGGAGTCGCCTCTTCACTGTTGACGTTGAGACTGGTGTTTTGCGGGTACTATTTAATGAAGCTGCCAGTTGAGGACCTGTGAGGCATCTGTTTCTCAAACTAGACACTCTAATGTATTTGTCCTCTTGCTCAGTTGTGCACCGGGGCCTCCCACTCCTCTTTCTATTCTGGTTAAAGCCAGTTTGCGCTGTTCTGTGAAGGGAGTAGTACACAGCGTTGTACGAGATCTTCAGTTTCTTGTCAATTTACCCGAATGGAATAGCCTTAATTTCTCAGAACAAGAATAGACTGACGAGTTTCAGAAGAAATTGCCATTGGAACACAGGATTGATGGTTGCTGATAATGGGCCTCTGTAAGCCTATGTAGATATTCCATTAAAAATCAGCCGTTTCCAGCTACAATAGCCATTTACAATATTAACAATGTCTATACTGTATTTCTGATAAATGTGATGTTATTTTAATGGACAAATAAATTATTTTATTTCGAAAACAAGGACATTTCTAGGTGACCCCAAACTTTTGAACGGTAGTTTAAATGTTTCCATTATTATGTAGTTACCTGTACATCTAAAGAGCAGAGTTAAGACAGTTTTGCAGTAAATTGAAAAAAGACAACATCATGGATGGCATCGTGGTACAATTAAGGCAGATATGAGTAATGATTCTCCAGGCCTATGTGATAGTGTGCTTTTATACAGTCCATCACAACAACTGATTGGAGACCTCAAACCAACCCTATCACATCACTCAATAAAAAAATATATAATAATAAAGTGAAACTTGCAGTAGCCTAGGCCAGAAAGTTTCTGATCTAAGACCAAATTTCCTTATCTGGCTTTGATGTAAATTCCCTTGAAAAGTGTCTTGGGACATGCCAGATGAAACAATACAAAGTGCTGTGACGGATCACATACAGACAACAACATCCAAAGATAAACCAAACAAGGTTGCTTCATCATGACATACACAGGATACCGTTATATGGGTCTCAAGTCACATCAACATTTCTAAATGTAACCTACCTTTTGTGGAGTTTTCCAGACCCCCAAAGCAGCAAGTAGCTTCAGCTTGAGGATTTTCCCAAATGATCCACATGAGTTAACAGGGGCTTGCACACTGGCGGTTTTTCCAGGGATTTCACGTTTCCTTCTCAGGACCCTAGAATGTGTGTGATAGGCCATTTCACAGATAAAGCCAAAGGCAGCTGGGGCCTCAGAGATAATTGGATGGGAAAGCATGGGGGTTGACAACATCCACTTCTGATAACACACAAACTAAACATCAAAGGGGATTAAAAACTATAAGGTCCATTCGTGAAATATATGTTCTGTGAATAGGTTATGATATATGATGTAGCTAGTACAAAACAAACCTAATAGAGTTGCAATGTCAGTTCTCAGTTCACACAAAAACATTTTTTAAGCACAGAAAAACGATACAGTGCTTTTCTGCTAGCCTGAGTACCAGTCTCTTTAGCTAACATTCTACTCCTTGTCATTGCCAAACTGGCCTTTCAGCAATCTTCAAATATGAACATTCTATCATTAATGAGCGAGGAGATCAGAGGCTTTTATCCTGATTCCATAACCTTCACAGCTATCATCCAATCACAATGTATATGCAAATTAGACTGATAGGAAGACATTCTAACTTAATTCATAAATGTTATTGGAAACATTCTAACATTGGGCATTCTGATGTAATACATGTCATTGTAAACATAAACATTGGGGAGAACAGACGATTCCCATTTATTGCATTTTTACCACAAGCTAATCACATCATACCAGAGATCTCTAGCCTTTCCAATTTCCCCACAAGTTCATTATGAACGCGGTAGCGTATTTGATATCCAGCATGCAAGAGCAAAATAAGTGACCATATTGCTACTATATTGCTACTTCTGGGACACGCAATGGCCTAGGCTACTGGTTCAAGGGCTATAAGAGGAATACGGAGAATGGAAGAGGCCAGTGAAGATGCCAGCTGAGATGCAAGAATTGCGCAAGAAAGGAACAGTGAAGACAGAGATGTGTAAATTAGAAGTGAATTCATAGGCTGGGATATTAATGCACCATTCGTATGCTAGCCTATATATTAGGCCTAGCCTACTACAGTGAATTTAGGCGACCAACACCTGTGCTATGCAAGCCATCTTCTTCTTCCATGAGGTTTAATGGATGTTGCCATCCAATAAATGTTGCATTACCGCAACCAACTAGACTGGAGTAGAACTCCCTTATACTTTGCTTGAAAAAAAAGGGAAATAAATAAACAAATACCCTACCATCTAACCCTACACTAATTAAAAACCAACCACTCTACTCCACTATTTGAGCCCCATCTAGGCCTACCTCAGGCCAACAGCCTGAAAGGACAGGACACCACCACTCAACACACCCTGTAACTCTTCTGACGTCTAATCTCACACACCCAAATACTTCTCTGCAGCTGCCACCACAACCTCTATTTTCTGGGACTTACGTTCCATCCCTGCAGTACAGTTGATAACCATTGCTATGAACACTAAAAAGCCAATCTTACTGAAGCATATATCACTCGTTGGCCTATCCCTCTGTTCTGATACAGATCTACACTACTTACACGAATCCTCTCAGGATCCCTCCTCCTTGACCCATCTTCCTCAACTTTCTTCGCTGCCTCAGCATACAAAACCCTCTGTTCTACTCTAACCCTGGTAACCTCAACCTGCCTCTCTTGCACCGGACATTTCTGATCCACACCCAGCCCTATGGGCATCCCTACAATTAACACATACCGCTTCTTTCCCCAATGCTACACACTCCTTTGTCTCGTGCCTTTCTGCACACTTCTCACACCTAGGAACTTCCCTTCTACACACTGCTGCCACATGCCCATAAACTTGACACATGTAACAACTTAATGTATTCAGCTCATACGGAATAACTTAAATATCCTAACATCAATCACTTTGTCAGGCAGAGACTCAACATCAAAAGCTATGCAAGCCAGAGACCAAAAAAATGTGGGGTCTGATGCAAGTTTTGTGCCAATTAATTGAAGTTGAACATCGCCAAATGCGTCAATTTAATTAAATGTGCAAAAGTATAGTGCCTAGGCCTATTAAATTAAACCCAACAGATCACAAAGCAGGGAATCCCCATTCCCCACTGAGCTAATTTTTGGAAATGGCAAGTTCACTTTCTCATCCATAAACGCATATCAAGTGCAAGTGTGCTACCCAGCAGCTCACATCAGCAGGAAGATGGGGCTTTTCATTAGGAGGGACATCTAACGTCGATCGCTAGAATAATGATTATGATCACATTTCCTCAATTTAAATATTAGGCCTATGGGGACACCTATACATTTGGCAGCCAAGCACGAGTGATCATTGTAGCCTTAATATCGTCTAGACATTATGTTAAAATATCTTCACGCCTAGAATAAAAAACACCATGCTTCTGTCATAGACAATTTAATGAAAAAAGTAAAGAATTACAGGGGGCAGTTTAGAAAAATGAATCCAGTGCAAATCTTCCTCTGGAAGAAGGCACATGCTTGGATAATAATTACATAACCAACGTCTCATGTACAGTGGTGGAAAAAGTACCCAATTGTCATACTTGAGTAAAAGTAAAGATACCTTAATAGTAAATGACTCAAGTAAAAGTGAAAGTCACCCAGTAAATTACTACTTCAGTAAAAGTTTTAAAGTATTTGGTTTTAAATATACTTAAGTATCAAAAGTAAATGTAATTGCTAAAATATACTTAAGAGTCAAAAGTAATAATGTACTTTTTACTCCATACATTTTCCCTGATACCCAAAAGTACTAATTATATTTTGAATGCTAAAAGTAAAAGTATAAATCATTTCAAATTCCTTATATTAAGCAAACCAGACGACACAATTTTCTTTTTTTTTTAATTTATGGAGAGCCAGAGGTACACTCCAACACCACTCAGACATCATTTACAAACAAAGCATTTGTGTTTAATGAGTCCACCAGATCAGAGGCAGTAGGGATGACCAGGGAGGTTTTCTTGATAAGTGCATGAATTGGTCCATGTTCCTTCCTGCTAAGCATTCAAAATGTAATTAGTACTTTTGGGTGTCAGGGAAAATGTATGGAGTAAAAAGTACATTATTTTCTTTAGGAATGTAGTGAAGTAAAAGGAAAAGTTGTCAAAAATATAAATAGTAAAGTAAACTACAGATACCTAATCAAAACTACTTAAGTAGTAAAAATACTTTAAAGTACTACTTAAGTAGTTTTGGGGGGTATCTATTTACTATTTATATTTTTGACAACCTTTACTTCACTACATTCCTAAAGAAAATAATGTACTTTTTACTCCATACATTTTCTCTGACACCCAAAAGTCCTCGTTACATTTTGAATGCTTAGCAGGACAGGAAATGGTCCAATTCACCGCTTATCAAGATAACATCCCTGGTCCTCCCTACTGCCTGCCTCTGATCTGGCGGACTCACTAAACACACATGCTTCATTTGTAAATAACCTCTGAGTGTTGGAGTGTCCCTGGCTTTCGGTAAATAAAAAATACAAAAGACAATTGTGCCTTTTGGTTTGCTTAATATAAGGAATTTGAAATGATTTATACTTTTACTTTTGATACTTAAGTATATTTTAGCAATTTGCCAACGTTTACTTTTAATCAAATAAAATAAAATGTATTGGTCACATACACATGGTTAGCAGATGTTATTGCGAGTGTAGCGAAATGCTTGTGCTTCTAGTTCCGACAGTGCAGCAATATCTAGCAAGTAATATCTAACAGTTCCACAACAAAAACCTAATACACACAACTCTAAGTAAAGGAATGGAATAAGAATATATAAATATATGGATGAGCAATGTCATTATCAGTGTGGCATAGGCTAAGATGCAATAGATAGTATAGAATACAGTATATACATATGAGATGGGTAATGCAAAATACAGTATGTAAACATTACTAAAGTGGCAGTATTAAAGTGACTAGTGTTCCATTTATTAAAGTGGCCAGTCTGTATGTAGGCAGCAGCCTCTCTGTGCTAGTGATGGCTGTTTAACAGTCTGATGGCCTTGAGATAGAAGCTGTTTTTCAGTCTCTCGGTCCCAGCTTTGATGCACATGTACTGACCTCGCACTCTGGATGATAGCGGGGTGAACAGGCAGTGGCTCGGGTGGTAGTTGTCCTTGATTATCTTTTTGGCCTTCCTGTGACATCGGGTGCTGTAGGTGTCCTGGAGGGCAGGTAGTTTGCCCCCGGTGATGCATTGTGCAGACCGCACCACCCTCTGGAGAGCCCTGCGGTTGTGGGTGGTGCAGTTGCCATACCAGGCGGTGATATAGCCCGACGGATGCTCTCAATTGTGCATCTGTAAAAGTTTTTGAGGGTTTTAGGTGACAGGCCAAATTTCTTCAGCCTCCTGAGGTTGAAGAGACGATGTTGCGCCTTCTTCACCACACTATCTGTGTGGGTGGACCATTTCAGTTTGTCAGTGATATGTACGCCGAGGAACTTAAAACTTTCCACCTTCTCCACTGCTGTCCAGTCGATGTGGATAGGGGGGTCCTCCCTCTGCTGTTTCCTGAAGTCCACGATCATCTCCTTTGTTTTTTTTACATTGAGTGAGAGGTTATTTTCCTGACACCACACTCCGAGAGCCTTCACCTCATCATTGTTGGTAATCAAGCCTACTACTGTTGTGTCGTCTGCAAACTTGATGATTGAGTTGGAGACGTGCATAGCTATGCAGTCATGGGTGAACATGGAGTACAGGAGTGGGCTGAGCACACACCCTTGTGGGGCCCCAGTGTTGAGGATCAGCGAAGTGGAGATGTTGTTTCCTACCTTCACTAATATCGTTTTCTATGAAGGTATCTTTACTTTTACTTAAGTATGACAATTGAGTACTTTTTTCCTCCACAGTGTGTGAGTTCGCTAATTCTCTATATGTTCAAGCAGCAAGTTTCCTAAAGTTAGCTCTCTGGACTCCTTCTCTTAATAAGAGAGGAGGATCAAATAATATAACTGAAATCAAATCAAATCACATGTTATTTGCCACATGCGCCGAATACAACAGGTAGACATTACCGTGAAATGCTTAAATGAGCATAACAAATAAGTATTGCTTGTTGTTGTTCATAAAAAACGATTTATATATTGCGCCAAATTTGCACGCACCCCCCATGTTCCATTACGTTGTCATGGAAAATATGAATGTTGTTTCCAACTAGCAATCAGCAACTGCCCAGTAAATCCGGCTTCATGTTGAACGTTGAGATGCCGAAAGGCTAGTCTCTTTGGCAATGACAAAACGTGGCAAGCGTTGAATGTCAGCTGAAGAGACTGGTACTCAGCCTACTTTTCTGCATCTCAACTAAAAAGTAAATGGGGTGGGATTGGGCGCTCATTGTTGCAATGTGATGAACAGGCATCTGAGGCGCTGATTGGCTCAGCCTCCAATCAATGTTGAACGTTCACATTTTGATGACACCATGGATAGGTGGTTACAGGTGTGCATGCGAATCATTTCGGTCATCTTCAGAATTACAAACGTGTTCTGGGATCAAACAAGGCTAGTATTTTGCTAGATTAATGAAAAGTTACGTTAACCAGCCATAATAACTGTGTATGCAATACAACCCGTTCAAATCAAACTAGCGAGCGAACTGATTAGCTGACTAAATTAGCTTTAGCTTCGAAGTCTGAAAGTTTGTGTTCGCGAACTATCGCTAGCATGGTTTGTTTATCCAGTACGGAAGATGTTTTGCATTTCAATTCACATAACATTCGTCTACTTGCCGCCAGTTGAGTTAATATTGCGAAGAGAGTCTGGTTGTTCATTGTTTGTGTGTCTGAAAATAACTAGCTAGTTAACGTTACATAGTACCACATGAAAGAGGAAAGCTAGCTAAAGCTAACCATTGCAAGTAGGACCTCGGTGACAGTGAAAAATTATACATTTTTTCCCTAACTTTGGTAGCAACCTAGCAATGCAGTTCTCGTGCTTCCCGTTGTGTTGTGGGTAGGCTGGGTAATGGATGGGTGACTAATGGATTTGGATTTCCTCAATTGGATATGTTTTATTTTCCAACAGTTCTGCCTGCACTGCTGACTGACAAATGAAAAAACGTTGTGCAAATAAACCTTTGAAAAGAACTCTCAAAGGAAATGCCATTGGACTCAATATGTTGGGAATTGGCAAGATGCCTAGGTATGTGTTTCTATGAAATTTAGTTTGCTTAACTACAAACTCATTGTGTTTAACAATTATCTTTTGCTTTTGAAAAGCCACATCTTTTAGAAAACTCTCTTTTTTTGTCACCACAGCTCTCAGTCTGTAGCAGTGCATTTCAGCCCAGTCCTCAACCGCAGTGACTACTACTTTGTGAGCCAGGTACCCTCTCCAGGAGTGGTTGTCCAAGGCAGAATCTTCCAACATGCGTTTACCCCTGCTTTAGTGCTTCAGAATAATGCCCAAAGGTGAGAGATCCCTTATTTAAAAGGTAATTAAGGATTTCAAACACTTGTGTCAATCTCATGTCAGAAATGTATTATAGGATTGGCGCACTATGTCTAGAAACAGAAGAATCATCCAAGAAAAATCCTTCTCTCCTGCAACCTGCAGGTAAATTGCTATTCACTTGACTGCCGTTTCATAAGAAGCCTACTGTACAGAGTAAATCCAATCCTTGACATAATGCTTATTGTTTTCATGTAGTTGTGTTGTCAGGTGATGACAAGGAAGAAACCTCTGTCAGTTCTGGTGCGCCAACGTCAGGGACCAGTCACTCCTCACCAACGCCCTCTGGTGGCAGTGTGGAGACAGTCGATGATGACAATGACTTCACAATCAATTACTTTGCCAACTCCAAAACCAGACTACCAAGGAAGAAGCGAATGAAAGACCCGGTATCAGAAACACTCAATGCTGTGTAGCAGTAGTCTGTCAGTGATCAAAGGTCAATTGGATTTTTGATAAGAATCTTGACTGGTAAAACGACTTAGGTCACTCAAATGTGACATGTCCCTTGACTATCTGTACACACCAAATACAACCCTAATGTATGTGATTTTGTTTATAGCTATTAACACCATCTCTGTTATGTCATGTTTTTCATTTATTTTAATCCTTCCCTTAACAGTTTGGGAAGTTGGTCCCTGACAAACCCACCACAAAACGGCGAAGAGTCAAACAGGATCATCCCACATCACCACCTCCTAAAAGGACATCTGCTTACGTTTCTGAGGGGATTGATGTGGTCTGCAGATGTATGAGAGTGGGGACAATGCGAAGGACGCCTCCCAAGCATGTCACCGTAAGCTTATTTTTATCATTTCAGTATAATATTGAAAACTGTCCAGTATTCCTCTGACTCAGTTTATTTGACTCTGTTTCAGTTTACAGCAGAGTACATCCAGATCGATGAACAAGGTAAGAAAACCCTTCAGTCTGAATTTGTGCCTTATTGGGATGAACCACAGGAGGTTGGTGGCACCTTAATTGGGGAGGACAGGCTCGTGGTAATGGCTGTAGCGGAATTAGTGGAATGGTATCAAATACATCAAACAAATGGTGTCCATGTGTTTGATTCCATTCACTCCACTCCAGCCATTATTATGAGCCGTCCTCCCCTCAGCAGCCTCCACTGGGATGAATATATGAGCAGACAAGAGCTGAGATGAAGCTGTTAAAAGTGAGTGATAAAACATTGAGGTATGTAAAGGCCTTAATAAATGTTTCCATCCCTTAATCTGATAATGTCAGTGCGGCTGTGGTCGTATAGTCTGGCCAGCTGTGCGTGGTGCCATGCACGAAGCTTGCCTGCCCTCTTCCTCAAGACCACCTCAGGGGAGTCCCAGCGCCTCCGCCTTCTGCTCAAGATGTCCCGAGCCAACGGGGGTGCCTGGTACGACAGCAAGGGCCAACGTGAGTATTACAGAACACTTCTCAAAGGCCTGACCAAGGGAACTCTAATACTGTAGATTTGCATACAGTACTGTATGAATTTTCGTCTGTAGACTCCCCAATGTAAATTCAGTCTGCTGACTTAATCTTAATTCCTTGGTCTATCAATCTGAAGTTTGTTGTCATCTTTCGGCAGATCTCGGCGAGAGCTACATAATCTTAGTGTTTGAGAATACGCTGTCTGACCTGGAGAAAGTTGAACTGGAGAACATTTTCAGAGAAATTGGCAGAGCAAATAAAGCTCCTGAGGATTTCACGGTACAATTGCCATTTGTGGAGGCCAACAAAATACTGATGCATTCCTCCCAACCAACCCCAGAGAAGGTAAGCATGTTGAACATGTAATGTTACTGATGGGGCATGGTGGAAAGTTAATAAATGAAAACCATTAGGCATTTAATGGAGCATCATCCACAGACATAAAATCCATTGATGCTTCCTCAGGTTATTTGACGTGTCCTCTGTTTGTTTTTCTCTCTGCAGCAGATTTTAGAGCCCATTGCATGTCCACCTAAATCTCCTCCTCACCCAGCTTCATCATTTCTGCAGAAGGTATCCCAGGCCATTTCAGGTCCACCTAAACCTCAGCCCTCTGATGCGTTTCAGCAGCATTTGTTGGATTCCATTTGTGGCTCAAGTACACAGACACCATCTTCCAAGCCTCTTGCCCCAAGATGGATTGCACCTGCCCCACCACTGATCTCTCTTGCCCCACAACTGATTTCTCTTACCCCACCACTGATCTCTCTTGCCCCACCACTGATCTCTCTTGCCCCACCACTGATCTCCCCTCCCCCAACATGCATCTCCCCTCCCCCAACATGCATCTCCCCTCCCCCAACATGCATCTCCCCTCCCCCAACATGCATCTCCCCTCCCCCAACATGCATCTCCCCTCCCCCAACATGCATCTCCCCTCCCCCAACATGCATCTCTCCTCCCCCAACATGCATCTCTCCTCCCCCAACATGCATCTCTTCTCCCCCAACATGCTTCTCTTCTCCCCCAACATGCTTCTCTTCTCCCCCAACATGCTTCTCTTCTCCCCCAACATGCTTCTCTTCTCCCCCAACATGCTTCTCTTCTCCCCCAACATGCTTCTCTTCTCCCCCAACATGCATATCTCCTCCCCCAACATGCTTCTCTCCTCCCCCAACATGCTTCTCTCCTCCCCCAACATGCTTCTCTTCTCCCCCAAAATGCATGTCCCCTGCCCCAATACAAGTCTTGGATGATGACGAAATAGTGGAGATTGAATCAACCTTCAAAGGGCCAGTCAAGAGGTGCATGACAATTCCCATCTTTGTGCTCTTGTTAAAGCGATAAATAGACTACCTCTGCTAACCCCATTGTGATGTTTGGGTTGTCGTCTTGCTAGGGTAATACTGTACCCCCCTCCTCCAGCCAGAGGGGGGATATCTGTCACCAATGAAGACCTGCACTGTCTCAACGAGGGAGAGTTCTTGAATGATGTCATCATTGACTTTTACCTGAAGTGAGTGCAATCTGTATGATCTGCTTTTACATTGCTCACAGTGGGTACTGTAGTGGGTTAACATTGGTGTATGTTCAGTATCCGCATTCCTATGGAATTAAGTTGGTTAATTTTGCTTTGCGTTTATACTTCATTGTTTGTAAAGGTACTTGGTCTGTGCAATGCTGAAAAAGGAGGATGCCAGCAGGAGTCACATGTTCAGCTCCTTCTTTTACAAGCGCCTCACCCAGACAGAGCAGGGGAAGACCCCATACTCTGAGGACCTACCGTAAGTACTGTAGTATGCCGACTGTACTTAACCAGCGCCCAATAGGTTCTAGCTCTGTGGGAAAATTATACTCAACCCCAACCGTTCATTCTAGTGTGAAGAAAAGGAGACACAACCGAGTGAGAACATGGACCAGGAATGTTGACCTCTTCCAGAAGGACTTCATCTTTGTCCCCATAAATGAATCGTGAGTCAAGCCTCTCGTGCGTACTATCACAGTATATACTCTGTCATAAATTGTCATGATATTGCTTTGCATCTTATTTAAGGTGTGCTTTCCTCCCAAATGTCAAGAAAATGCCCATATATACAGTACCAGTCAAGTTTGGACACACCTACTCATTCAAGTTTTTTTTTTTTTTTTAAACTATTTTCTACATTGTAGAATAATAGTGAAGACATCAAAACATATGGAATCATGTAGTAACCAAAAAAATGTTAAACAAATCAAAATATATTTTAGATTCTTCAAAGTAGCCACCCTTTGCCTTGATGACAGCTTTGCACACTCTTGGCATTCTCTCAACCAGCTTCATGAGGTAGTCACATGGAATGCTTTTCCAACAGTCTTGAAGGAGTTCCCACATATGCTGAGCACTTGTTGGCTGCTTTTCCTTCACTCTACTATCCAACTCATCCCAAACCATCTCAATTGGGTTGAGGTCGGGTGATTGTGGAGGCCAGGTTCAACTGATGCAGCACTTCATCACTCTCCTTCTTGGTCAAATAGCCCTTACATAGCCTGGAGGTATGTTTTGGGTCATTGTCCTGTTGAAAAACAAATGATAGTCCCACTAAGCGCAAGCCAGATGGGATGGCGTATCACTGCAGAATGCTGTGGTAGCCATGCTGGGTTAAGTGTGCCTTGAATTCTAAATAAATCACTAACAGTGTCACCAGCAAAGCACCATCACACCAACCACCTCCATGTTTCCCGGTGGGAACCACACATGCGGAGATCATCCGTACCCCTACTCTGCGTCTCACAAAGACACGGCGGTTGGAACCAAAAATCTCAAATTTGGACTCATCAGACCAAAGGACCTATTTCCACCGGTCTAATGTCCATTGCTCGTGTTTCTTTTCCCAAGCAAGTCTCTTCTTATTGGTGTCCTTTAGTAATGGTTTCTTTGCAGCAATTCGACCATGAATAGCCCAGTCAAAGCTATTCGCTGCTCTGGCACCCCAATGGTGGAACAAGCTCTCCCACGACGCCAGGACAGCGGAGTCACTGACCACCTTCTGGAGACACTTGAAACCCTACCTCTTTAAGGAATACCTGGGATAGTATAAAAGTAATCCTTCTAACCTCTACCCCCCCCCCCCCCCCCCCCATAAAAAAAAAAGTGGTTGACCCACTGGCTATCATAAGTTGAATGCATCAATTTGTAAGTCGCTCTGGATAAGAGCATCTGCTAAATGATGTAAATGTAAAATGAAGGCCTGATTCACACAGTCTCCTCTGAACAGTTGATGTTGAGATGTCTGTTACTTGAACTGCAATCTGAGGTGCAGTTAATTGCCGATTTCTGAGGCTGGTAACTAATTAACTTATCCTCTGCAGCAGAGGTAACTCTGGGTCTTCCTTTCCTGTGGCGGACCTCATGAGAGCCAGTTTCATCATAGTGCTTGATGGTTTTTGTGACTGCACTTAATGAAACTTGTAAAGTTTTTTAAATGTTCCGTATTGACTGACCTTCATGTCTTAAATTAATGATGGACTGTCATTTCTCTTTGCTTATTTGAGCTGTTCTTGCCATGATATGGACTTGGTCTTTTACCAAATAGGGCTATCTTCTGTATACCACCCCTACCTTGTCACAACACAACTGATTGGCTCAAACGCATTAAGAATGAAAGAAATTCAACAAATTAACTTTTAACAAGGCATACCTGTTAATTGAAATGCATTCCAGGTGACTACCTCATGAAGCTGGTTGAGAGAATGCCAAGAGGGTTCAAAGCTGTCATCAAGGCAAAGGCTGGCTACTTTGAAGAATCTAAAATATATTTTGATTTGTTTAACACTTTTATAGTTACTACATTATTCCATATGTGTTATTTCATAGTGTTGATGTCTTCACTATTATTCTAAAATGTAGAAAATAGTAAAAATTAAGAAAAACCCTTGAATGAGTAGGTGTCCAAACTTTTGACTGGTGCCGTATGTTTAAGTTTAGTTTACCTGAGTCATCTTCTCACCTCTTCTTTCCATCCATGTTAAAACACCCTCTTCACCCCAGGGCACACTGGTTCCTGGCGGTCATCTGCTTCCCTGGCTTAGAGGACCTCCAGCAGGAGCCCCAGTCCCTTCAGCAGCAGGAACCGCTGTCTCCAGACTCCCCATTCCCAGCCTGGTTGGAGGAAGGAGAGAGCGACCTGGACAAGTGCTTCCTGATGGACTTCACCTCCCCCAACCCCATGTCACTGTTTTTCAGCCCCCCCGGCAGCAGCACCAGGGGTCAGCCAGGCCCAGAAGCCTCAGACTGCGACCTCACCATAGGGGTGAGGCTGCGCGTATGCTCAAACGGTGGGGGAGGAGAGGAGCTGTGGTCGGGCATGAAGGAGGTCTGTGTGAGCCCCACCACCACCGGGGTCCATGGTCTGGGTCTGATAAAGAAGCAGCAGCTCCTCTCAGGTGTGTCAGGAGGAGAATACAGTCTAGTTGATTGTTAACTCTGCATTATAAATGGAATTGGATTTAGTGATGACAGCTCAACTGTAGAATTGGAAGCATGTGTCCTATGTTTTAGATGATTGCAACAGATCTGAAATAGAAAAGGACATCTTTGCCTTTTCTCCTGTTCAGGATTCAAATCAGGTAATGGATCTAAAAAAAAAAAATGTTTTGTGACAGCATATTCTATGTTTTCTATGTTAGTTCTTTTGACAGTATACTACTATCAGAGGGGGTGATTAGAGAAGAAGAATGTTACATCTGAATTCATGACTCTAAAAATCGTTTTCCCTATCAAGGACCAGTGCAATGAGAGTAAACAGCAGGACAGTGTTGATGTCTCCTCCCAACCCACTACCAGTAAACAGTAAGTTCCATGGGCTGGGGTTTTAACCTGCTCCTTTACCTTACAGCTGCCTTATAGACTGTTGTAGTTCTCACACTAGTTAAACATTATTCCTGCAAGAAAGTGTTATTCACTCATGTCACTAGATGGCACCAGGATCATTCTCTTGGTAAATCTTATCAGTTTGTGGTACATACAATGTCCTCATGGTGAGCAATACCTTGAATTATGATCATATCCAATCTTTTGTTTTTTCCTCAAAACAGACCTTGTATCCTGATCATGGATTCCCTAGGAGGCCATGCGAGGTCAGGGGTCGTGAAGATCCTGCAAGAGTAAGATTTTAAACCGCTATTTACTGTTTATCCACCTATCGGGTCAGCAACTCCTTTGCTACTGTAGTACGGACTGAGTTTGGACGTGTGTGAATGCAGATACTTAGAGGTTGAGTGGGAGGTGAGGAAACGCAGTCTGAGGAGTTTCTCTAAAGATGTGATGAGGGGCTCAAACCCCCAGGTCCCTCAGCAGGACAACTACAGCGACTGTGGCGTTTACCTGCTTCAATATGTGGAGAGCTTCTTCCAGGTGAGGACATGCATTGTTGACTTCAGTACATCAAAAAGAAATTGGTTACTATAGGATGAATCGGGTCAGTGTATTTGTTTCTGACCACGTGATATGATCAGGACAGAAATACTGGTTAGAAAAATCTCCTGGCCCCACTAATGAGACTTCTACCATGCAAATAAGTCTTTTTTTTTGTTGAATTTAGAATCCCCCACAAGATTTTGAGTCGCCCATGGACCTAAAGGAATGGTTTCCACTGATGCAGGTGAAGCGCAAGCGAGCAGATATCAGGAAGCTCGTCCTCAAAATTCAACAGCAACAAGAGGACACAAATGACTCATAACCTTCATTTAAATGGATTTACTATTCAACACAATCAAATTCGCAATCATTTGATTTGGTGGGGTTATTTAGTCTCCCTTGGTCCAATGGACCTGGCTCAGAGTGACAGTACATTTAGTTCCTTTACCTCGCTCTGTATCGCATTGTTACTGTGTGTGTGAAATATATATATATATATATCACCTTTTTATTTATTTTTTAAGGCATAATCATTTTTCATAGCTGCACTTGTGACTAAGTATCTGTGTTTTGCTATGTTTACAGGTTTATTGGTTGATAGGATGGTGATGATTCTTCCCTTAGTTGTCGCATCACAGATTAAAATCGCATATAAATAGAGAATGTCTGTGAGGATGGAGCTTTGTTCTATAAAGGGTTCCGGTTTATTCTTAATGTCCTGTTATGTTTGAAAAATGTAATGTCAGACATGAGATTGTTGTAATACATTGTTTTGTACCTTTTGGAATGTCTCTTAAGTTCTCGTAGCGCTTGAATTATTTGTGAGGGGCACTTTGTTGGATTGCCCATCTGTTGAGCGAGCAGCCTAGCATTGTTACATTTCATTTGAAGTAGAAGAAAGTAAGTGAAAAATAAAGTGAATGTTTATGTACCAATTCTTGTTTGGTGGTCCTTTTTATAAAGCAGTTATTTTAAGGACCGGGTAGTTGCCTATGCATAAACAAGACTTTAGGGCTGTTATTAATTTCCTATTGACTAACCCACTTTAGGAGAGATATTGATTTAACTGCAGTTTCATCATGTGCTCTGCCTTGTCCCTTGGTTACCCCATCTCTGGCTGTGGGATTCCCCTTGCATCCTGGTCTATGGGCTCAACAGAGCTGATGGGAGCTCAGCCTCAGATGTACTGCTCTATTAATCTGATTAAATTGTCCTCTGTTCCTCTGGCTCAGCCTCAGTGTAACAGCTCAACTCTCCAGTTATGTCACAGTACCTCCCTGAAAGACTACGCTTTCCTATCCTCGAATTGGCTAATTTGACTCTTCCCTGCCACTCTTCCTCAGGTTGTTGTCAATGAGATGTTCTCACTGATCTCAATCAATTATATGGTTGGATAAAGGTTAATTCCTCCAATGGTTCACCCTTGTGGTCAGTTACCCAGAACTACTGTTGGACTGGCATTGTGCTACATTGTGTGCAGTTGCTGTCTTTGACATGTGAACTGGACACTGAGGACAGGATTATAACATGAGCAAAAAAGTAAACATGTAAACATTTAATGTCACGTTTACATGCGTTCTCCCTGTGGGAAATGTGATACAATGGGTATCGGATGTCCTAATTAGATTTAAAAACCCATTATAGGTTTTCAATGAGGGATAGGTTGTCTTCAGGTGATGTCTTCAAAAAGTGTTAAATTACCAGCCTCTCAAATATTTATGAGCCTGAAGTTAGCAGTTTACACACCTTTATTGAAACCATTGTGATGTTGTATGCCAATTTGCATCAGTTTATCATCTGCCCTCTGTACTTTTCCCCATGATCATCTGGGGAAAAGGGAGAAACCGTAATATCATTCAAAAGCAATCTGATAGCTGTAAACATTAAACAAGTAGAAATTCATGACAAATGCATTACTTTTATCTGTATCAAGTGCGAATAAATATCCTTTAACATAGACTAGATCATTGTATTCGTATGTACTATCAAGTTATGCTGCAACTAATACAACTTCTCAAGCTTTATGCTACAGGTATCATTATGATGATGGTTACTGCTCCGGAAAGAAGCGCATTCCCAGTGACGTCATCTCTGCCTCCCAGCTGGACTTCAGTTTGCTCCGCTGTTGGTAGGCTGCTGCTGAAGTGCGGGTGGACAAGTACCAAAATAAAAGAGTTCGGATATTGTGTCAAGGATATTTTGTATGCGGAAATTTGAACCAGCTTTTCGTTGAGACACATCAAGAATACAGAAGTATCATTTTAGGGATACATTGTTGTAAGTTCCTCTTAATTAATCTTGCAAACCATTTAGCGAGCTAGCTAGCTAGAACCTGTAGGCTACACTTGTTAGCGCGTAGCTAGCTAACTGAGAGTGGGAGCTAGCTATCGTTAGCTAACTATGTGATGGTGGCGCGATCGCAGTTTGCCAATACCAATGAGATAGATACAGTGACTATTTGTCAAAATACTGATATAGCTAGGTAACTAAAATGATCCGCATTAATTTGTATTTAGCGTTGCATTATGTCTCTAAAATGTCTTAGTGGAATTGTCTCTGGTATAGCTACAGAAGCTACCTAAGCCTGTCATTTGCATATGTTATTATAAGGTTCTAAGTTAGCTCATAACGGTATAACAAAGTTATCTAGCTCGAGCCTACCTGCTATTGTTCGGTAAATGTAGCCATTGGCTTGATAAATTACATATTTAACTAGGTAAATATGGTGACATGTGGCTAAAGCTGTCAAGTTAAAATGTATGTGCATATGACATTCATATTAGACACGCTAGTTAGTTTTATCCAATTGTTTGACAAAGCTATGAAGTAGCTGTTACTGTAACTGTTGATGAAAGTGCCATGCCATGATGCTTCAGTTGCCATAAAATAAGCATCACAAAATATTAAAGTGGAATAATTATGGCTTGTTATCAACAGCGGAGTTTAACCATCAAAGTAGCTATGTTCTGAAGGTAAGTCCTATGCACTAAGCCAGGGATCATGAACTAGATTCAGCCACGGGCTGATTTCTTTCTTGACCGGATGATCAGGGGGCCGGAACATAATTACAAATAATTTGTAGACTGCAAATTGATCGCAAGAAGGCCAAACGGATATATTTGACTAAAACAAGCAGTTTAAACCCGCGGTCCGCTAGTTGGGTCACCCTGCACTAGGCTCATGGATAATGTGCTTAATTAATGTTGTCTGTTCTATATAGTAATAGATTTTGCTAGAATGCCCGCAAAGAAAAAAACAAGTTACTATCTGACAAGCCCGGAATGGCTTCCTTTAGGTTGTAGGCTAATGTTGCCATGACCACTGACGCACCAGCACCTCTTCCCTACATCCTGTCAGGCTACAGCAGATATTCCAAGGTATTTTCCATATCCTCTCTTCCATAGAGGGAACAGGAAGCTTGAGGCAGGCAGGAGGTTCTGTGTGTTCCAGGAAACCCTCCTTAACCTATGAACCTTGGTCTCCCCCATTACTGCACTGGGGTCTGCATCCCCTCATCAGACTGTTTTTCTCTTCATGGGCTGACTGCTGACCACACCTTACAAACTTCAACAGGCCAGACAAATATCTCTCTTCCGTTCAGGCTTAGGAGCCTTAAGAGGATTACATGTAGACTCAAAGCTACCCAAATGGGACCTGTATTAGGTGGCTGGTTTGTTGTGATTAATGTGATAGTTGTCAACATGTCAGACATTGCCTTTCAAGGCCTCCTGTAGCTCAGTTGGTAGAGCATGGCGCTTGCAACGCCAGGGTTGTGGGTTCGATTCCCACAGGGGGCCAGTATGAAAAATGTATGCACTCACTAACTGTAAGTCGCTCTGGATAAGAACGTCTGCTAAATGACTAAAATGTTAAATTTTATATGCAATGTTATAATGCTGTAACATTGCATTTCTGATGTTGAACATTGTGGCCATTTGTGGTTTTTTAAGTTTAATAAAAAATGCTCCCTCTCTGCTGCTTTGGTGTTGAAGTCTGCGAGAGTTTATGTCAATCTTTAAACGGCACAAAGGTTGTTACAGTTATGTGATGTCTTTGTAGTTATTGGTGATATTTCCTGTTGACGTCATCAAACATGGGAGTAGTGAACTGTGGGAAATTCTTGTGATAAGGACAGACCATGTCCTTATCACGATGCGTGGGAATACTTTGGAACAGATTTCCAAAATTAAAATCACTTGGCGCTGATTTATATATATTTTTTTAGTCTTATGCCCAAAAAAATTAAAATAAGAATTTTGCTCAGAAAACAGTAGTCCATGCCCCGATGAATTGAGGCTGTTCTGAGGGCAAAAGAGGGTGCAACTCAATATTAGTGTATGTGATGGTATACAAATGTAAGCAAGGTTTGAAATTGTTTGTGAAATTGTATCTGTTTGGGTTTCTTGTAATCAATTTGTAGTCTCTCAGTGTTGACCTCAAGTGACTGTGTCCAGTCAGCATCAAGTGGCCATCAGTCAGAGGTTTGGGAAGGTGTCCTGGCGACGCCCCTGCTTTCTCCGAATCTGTCAGATAGGCAGACGCCCCCCCCCTCTTTTTCTTTGAATGGCCATTGCTCCAGTAGTGTATGTCTACCAAAATGGGTAAAACATTTAGTTTTGACAGCAGTAAGTTCTGGACGGTCATAACATAAGGCCTAGTTAGGCTTAGGTTAACTAAAAAAAAGTACAGGGTCCTGCTCTGCTCTGTGTTCAGGCTCAGCCTTGACACAATACTTTGATGTTGGGCATGTTCATCATCCTGATTAGCTCTTAACACTAGAACCGCTAAAGCAGTCATTTGGACTACTCATTATTTTGTATTACTCTGCCATTTTTAAAGTCATGCCCCCCTCTGTCCTTGACTTTTCCTAAATAAGTATATATAACACGCTGTCATTGTTAGAATCTTAATATCACAAACAGAACTGGAGTTATAACCAGTTTTAGGAGGGCGTGTAATTTCTTTGAATGTTTTTCCCCCTCTCGACGGTAGGGCCTGCTCCGCTCCTCCCAATAGTTGAAGGTGCTGTCTCCCATTGATAATCACCCTGATAATTGCCTCTAAACAGAACCTACTCTATACCGAAACTAATTTCACACTTATAACAACAGATTAAATAAATGAAGTTAAAGTATGATAGGGGAGAAAGTGGGAGAATGGGTGAGTTGATGAGGGAGGGGAAGCGACCAATGCATAATTATGTAATCATCAACTGTGAATGAAGAACAGGGTGGGCCATTCTCTTGTATTGATCCATTCTAATTATAATATCGATGGTATGTACCCTACATCAGTCCACCGAATCCAAGCAGTCTTATCAGT